CTATGAAGTCTTCCTTCACCAGTGAAAATTCAGTGTGTTAACACCCCACCAGATTGAACACTCACCAAAAGCTGGTGATAAACCAGCGTATCTCTATTAGCCCAGCACTCCACAGCTCAGTTCCAGCTTAGAAATATCCAGACAGCTCCATATAGTACATGCAGATATAAAAATATACTCGCCATAGTGCAATAACGTATAATAAAATTTATTCAAATGCTCCCCCCATAAAATACACTCACATTGAGTACAAAAATATCCAGCATTGGTATAAAAATGCAACACAAGAGCTTCCAGCCCTCTCAGCAGCGTCTCACCAGCCTGCCTGCAATCAAGATGGCGTTGTTGCGGTCACGTAATCCGGACACGTGGGTTGGCATGCGTGGTGAAGTCACTGACAAACCCACACCCTAACGCGTTTCGTCATACGACTTCATCCGAGGGAGTCTAAATACATTTAGAAGTGTTTACACTTTTTCTGCCAAAATGCTACTGCTCCTGGATGCACTGGCCCTGGGGTTTTCATTCCTGCTGGTAACACTGTTCAACACAATTTTTGTCACAGACCTGCTCTGACCTGTTCCATATCTCATTTTTCCTCTTGTTTACAAATATGGTATCATAATTTTTCTATCACCCATACTTCCGGAGTTACGCTCTAGTAAAGTTTGTACGTTACTTTAAATGAGCCATTACAGTTTTGTTTGGGTAGAATAGAGGTTTAATATGAAAAATTCCATTGTTGTATGTTGTCAGCCACAACCAAAAATGCTGAGTCGTGTATTTATAATTAATACTCACAAAAAAATTGATATAATAAATAATAAAAATAATACAAAAACTTATATTACATATAATATAAATTAAATAGTCCCACTCCAACAAAATAATTGAGTTGAATATGGTGAGTAAAATGAATTGAAAAGTCCTTATTCAAAAGACCGTTGACCCGTGTTCACACCCGTTAGTGCTCAGATCACACACCGCACTCACCTTCTATTATCTGGTTCTTCTCTTGGGTTCACGGCTCCAGCGGCTTGAATGAACCTGACGCGATGACATCACTCCCACGCATGCACTTTTTGCGGCACACAGCTCTAAAGGGCATGTCATATCATCAGTGGCAGGGCTTCCACCTTCTATCACCCGGTTCTTCTCTTGGGTTCATGGGCTGGCGGCTTGAATGGACCTGACGCAATGACATCACTTCCACGCATGCACTTTTTATGGCACACAGCTCTAAAGGAACAGCATGGGCATGTTGTATCATCAGTGGCAGGGCTTCCACCTTCTATCACCCGGTTCTTCTCCTGGATTCCCAGGCTCCAGCGGCTTGAATGGACCTGACCCGATGACGTCACTCCCACGCATGCACTTTTTACGGCACACAGCTCTAAAGGAACAGCACGGTCATGTCGTTCCTTCAGAGTGCATGTGCCAGTGTCTTTCACAGATAAATATCTCTTAAAAGGTGCACGTTTAGGAGATATTTGCAGTACTTACAGGCAGGGGCGTATTTACCACAGGGCAAACAAGGCATTTGCCTAGGGCGGTATTTTTTAGGGGGGCAGCACTGTCCCCTGGAAGAAGGGACATATGTGGCATGGGGACCAAGTGGGATCCGAGAGAGGCTGCGGGCTGCTTGATGGTGTATGCAGAGCCCGATTGTCGTTCTCGGGGATGTCCGGAGCTGTTAAGGTGAGTGTCTTTCTCTCTTTTGCTGGGGTGGGGTGTTAGTGGAAGGATCTCTCTGCAGGGGGCTGATGTTGGTCGGTGTCAGGCTCTCTCCACCGTGGAGGGGGCATCCGATTTTTTTCTGTTGCCTAGGGCAGAACAAAACCTAAATACACCACTGCATACAGGTACACCATATTATAGCCTTACCTATAGGTGAAAGTGAAAAAAAAACAACAACTTTACTACCACTTTACAACGGAGAGGGAAAAACTGTCATTTGAGTTAATTGGAATCCAAGCCTTGAATACAGATCTTCGAATTTGTTAAGATTGTTACATAGCTGGCAATAGCTGAGAAAAAGTTCCTTGTTGCTGTCACAGGACAGAAGGTAGGTAGAATTATCTCCCCAAAAGGACAGACAGCAATAAACATCCAACAGAACATCTCACCTTTCCTGCCTTAAAAATTTATTGACTGTCATTTTCCTTGAATTTTTAGCAATTTTTAACTGTAAAATTAAATATTTTTAGGTAGGGTTCATTGCAGAGATGGTCAGTTCTGGGTGTGTGTTCATTCTGGATGTTACCCTTTTACCTACAGTACCATGTCAGTAAGTCCCTCTTCTGTTATAAAGGCAAATATTGAAGTCCTCATCAACTGTAGCAGTCTTATAAACCTTCGGAAGGATGGCAATGGAACCGTATGACAATGGAACAGTATGACAATGGAACAGTATGACAATGGAACCGTATGATAATGGAACCGTATGGCAATGGAACAGTATGACAATGGAACAGTATGACAATGGAACAGTATGACAATGTCTCTCTGCTTTAATAATGTGATAACAGGTGTGGAGGGAGCAGATCTGGGGACAGTTCCCCTCCGGGATGATCTATTACCAGGATGATGGAAGTCCCAGTAGTACATGAACACAGTTGTAACACCTGTGTACGTTTCACCAACAGTGGATCCGTGTATTCTCGGTCACCAATACCCCCTTTAACTTACATCTTAACCTCCCTGGCGGTATGATTATTTCAGATTTTTGGTGCTGAAAGCGGTACCATTTTTTTGCATGGAAATATGTATTTTTTTTATTGTAGGCTGTGATTTTTAGGAAAAACTCACTGAAATCTGTCCGAACAAGAGTCTAGTAAACATCCCGGGTATGATAAAATTTGAAACACAAAATCATAAATTATAATTTAATAAATAATCATAAAAATAATATAAAAATAATAAAAAATTTAATTCAATAATATAATCAAACCAAAAACACTGAAATGTGAAATAGAGCGCCAAGTTCGCACATTGCTGAGCTCACTCGCAAAATCGTTTTCAGTTTCTGATGACGAATTTCCCCCACGAATCATTATCACTCAATTCTGCAAGTGGTTCTGATTTACTATCGCTGTTCTCTAGCTGATCTAAACCGCTTTTGACCTAAAGGGACACTTTTTGGACGCCATGGACATTTCTCAGTTTCCAGGCAGAAAGAACAGACAAAATGCAGGCAGGGCGCAGGACAAAGCACTAGGGACAAAATGTATGTGAAATAGGTTGAAACAGCAATGTTTTACTGTGTAAAATGAAAAAAAAAAAAAATGACATTTTTTAAAATTTTTAAATTTCCCGCCGCCGGCGGCGGCGGCGCCCGTACGTCCCGACGTCACAGGGACAGGACACAGAAGCCGGATGCCGGCATCGGCCGGAGGAGATGGCCGGGGACGCTGCAGGGGACACATCGTGGGAGCGCAGGGTAAGGTAAGTGAAGAACACATGCCGGAGCAGCGCCGCATGGTATTCCCGAGTGTAGCTCGGGGTTACTGCTTTTGGTACTGAAATGTTACCCCGAGCTACACTCGGGAATACCGCCAAGGAGGTTAAAAAGGGATAACAGAGAAAAAGTTGTAGCTAGTATTACTTTGGATGTAAAGAACGACAAACGCAATACTCTACTAGTCAGTCGTACTTGTGTTCTTGTGGACAGAAATATATTTTTCAAGACAAGCTTTCTTAGATTTTTTTTCTTTAACCCCTTTCTCTTCTGAGGATTCCTCCCCTTCCTGACCAGGCCATTTTTGGCGTTATGGCACTGCGTTACTGTAGCCTCCCTAGCGGTCTGATTATGTCCATATTTCTGTGCTCAAAGCGGTACATTTTTTTGCATGGAAATATGTATTTTTTTTATTGTAGGCCTGTAACTCTTAGGAATAACTCACTGAAATCTGTCTGAACAAGAGTCTAGTAAACATCCCGGGTATGATAAAATTTGAAACACGATATCAGAAATTATAATATATAATAAATAATCATAAAAAATAATAATAATAAATGTAATTCAATAATATAATCAAACCAAAAAAACTGAAATTTGAAAAAGAGCGCCAAGTTCGCACATCGCTGAGCTCAGTCGCAGAATCGTTTTCAGTGTCTGATGATGAATTTCCCCCACGAATCATTATCACTCAATTCTGCAAGTGGTTCTGATTTACTATCGCTGTTCTCTAGCCGGTCTAAAACCGCTTTTGACCTAAAGGGACGCTTTTTGGATGCCATGGACGTTTCTCAGTTTCCAGGCAGAAAGAACAGTAAAAATGCAGGCAGGGCGCCGGACAAAGCACTCGGGACAAAATGTATGTGAAATGGTTTGATACAGGAATGTTATTCTATGTGATTTTAGTGTATTTAGTGAATGTCACTTTTACAACTTTAAAATTTCCCACCAGTTCCGTCCCCCGTACGTCCCGACGCTCGCAGGGATGGAACCCAGAAGACAGATGCCGGCATCGGCCGGAGGACATTGCTGGGGACGCTGCAGGGGGAACATCGCAGGAGCGCAGGACAAGGTAAGTGCAGGAGGGATCCAGGAGCAACGCTGCAGTGTATTCCCGAGTGTAGCTCAGGGTCACCGCTTGTGTTGCTGAAACTTTTCCCTGAGCTACATTCGGGAATACCGCCAGGGAGGTTAACTGACAATTGTGCGGTCATGCAATAAATTAAATTTACGTCCTTTTTTCCTATGAATAGAGCTTTCTTGTAGTGGTATTTGACCACCTGGGCGGTTTTTATTTTTTGAGAAAAAACAATATTTTTGACTTTTTGCTATTAAACATTTAAAAAATCAAATTTCATCATAAATTTAGGCCAAATGTATTCTGCTCCATGTCTTTGCTAAAAAAAATCTCAATACGTGTAAATTAATTAGTTTACATGAAAGTTCTAGCGTTTGCAAATGGCGGTATAGATACTGGGGCTTTTTTTAATTATTATTTATTTTTACTAGTAATGGCGGCGGTCAGTGACTTATAGCAGGACTGCGGGACTGCGACAGGCATTCTGACACTGGGGGGAACTGACTTGGTGTCACTGACATCCCCAGTGACACCAATACAGTGATCAGTGCTAATAAAAAGCACTGGCACTATACTAATGGCACTGGGCAGGAAGGGGTTAATATGTGGGGCAAGGGAGAAACGGACAACTCATGGGGCCCCCCGGGCAATAGGGGATCATGGGGCCCCTGTGTCCTTGCCCAAACTCAAAAAAGCCTATGAAAAAAGGTACCAGCGGCATCCCATGGAGCCCCCTATTGACCCCGGGCCCTTGGGCAATGCCCGAGTTTCCAAATGGTCAGTCCGCCCCTAATGTGGGGTGATCAAAGGGTTAACTCTGTGCTGTTTTACTGTGTGTGCTTCACTGTAAGCACACTTAGTGTATGGCTTTGCTATGCAAAGCCATGCATAGCAGTGTGCAAGAGATGACAGGGTAGAGATCTGTATTGTTTCCTTATAGTTCTCTCCCTCCATCAGTAATGCTCCTCGATCACCGGGTGACGGTGAGTAATCACCGGCCGGGACCCAGTGATTGACAGCCGAGGCCGCGAAATTCAGATCTGAAGCAACTGCACTTGCAGTGCACAGCCCATGTACCTTTAGTAAATCAACCCCATTGAAAAATGAATGAAAAAGTGATTGTAAATACAAAGAACGCAATTTGTTTCTAATCTTTTATTTATCACTTGGATTGTGTTTTGTCTTTCCTCATAAGATATTCTTTGGAGTTCATGTCCGGTCTAAACAATATGATGAAACATTTAGGAAAAAACATACAAATCAGCAATGCCCAACTGGAAGACAGAATGGCAAAAATTTCCATAGCCACTGTATACTTTCCCTGAGCACTGAGATAAGCTGGGATGAAAGAGATCCAGACACTGAGGAAGGCCAACATTGAGAAAGTAATATACTGGGCCTCGTTGAAGCTGTCAGGAAGCCTCCTAGCCAGAAAGGCCACAATGAAACTAACAAATGCTAAAAGACTAAGATACCCCAACATGGCCCAGAAGGCAATGGTCGAGCCTACATTGCACTCAAAGGTTATGAATCTTGACTGTGACAAACTGTTGAGTTCTGGAAACGGAGGTGCAAGTGCCAACCAAGAGATGCACAAACTTAGTTGTAAAAGGGAACAGATGGATATTATCAAGAACGAAACCCAAGGACTAGTCCATATTCTCAGTTTACTGCCAGGTTTGGTGGCCATGAAAGCAAAGACGACCATGATGGTTTTTGCTAAGATGCTAGAAACACAGAGAGTAAAAACCATGCCAAATGCAGACTGCTGTAGGAGACACGTCCTTCCTTGGGGAGGTCCAATGAAAGCCAAAGAAGAAAAGAAACAAAGAGACAAGGAGAGGAGGAGAAGGCAGCTCAGATTGTAATTATTGGCTTTTACTATTGGGCTGTTCTTATGTAGTACAAAAAGCCTCAGAACGACATTAGGAACCAGCGAGGAGAAAAATGGTGGTCACTGCTAGTGTTGCTCCAAGTGGATCTTCGTAAGATAGGTACTCAATAGTTTTGGGAAGACACATGGATTTCTGAGGATTTGGCCAGTGATCCCATGGACATTTGAGACAATTAACAGAATCTGGAAAAATAATGACAAAAAATAAATTCATAGATACTGGAGTTTATAATTGCAATCTAAATAGAAACTTT